ACCCGGCCAACACCCGGCCACCACCTGGCCCAACACCCAGCCAACACCCAACCAACACCCGGCCACCACCTGGCCCAACACCCAACCAACACCCGGCCACCACCTGGCCCAACACCCAACCAACACCCGGCCACTACCTGGCCCAACACCCGGCCACCACCTGGCCCAAGACCCGGCCAACACACAACCATCACCCAACCAACACCCGGCCACCACCTGGCCCAAGACCCGGCCAACACACAACCAACACCCAACCAACACCTGGCCAACACCCGGCCAACACCCGGCCACCACCTGGCCCAACACCCAACCAACACCCGGCCACCACCCGGCCCAACACCCGGCCAACACCCGGCCACCACCCGGCCCAACACCCGGCCAACACCCGGCCAACACCCGGCCAACACCTGGCCCAACACCCAGCCAACACCCAACCAACACCCGGCCACCACCTGGCCCAACACCCGGCCAACATCCGGCCAACACCTGGCCCAACACCCGGCCACCACCTGGCCCAACACCCGGCCAATACCCAACCAACACCCGGCCACCACCTGGCCCAACACCCGGCCACCACCCAGCCCAACACCCGGCCACCACCTGGCCCAGCGCCTGGCCCAACACCTGAGCCCATGTATGATACACAAATTAAGCTGCTTAGGCACAGCACAAGGCACAGAGTATGGGTAACAGACTCTTTAAATTCTCCTCTTATCAGTAAAGACTCAGGAAGTAAGCATTAACGGACTTGTCCCATAGTTCTTGTGTGGTTGAATGCTTGAATGTAAAGGATTTGTGATGCTATAACGACAGGTTGGGCATCAGTGGCCAAAGGGCGTAACTGGCATTTGTGCTGTTCTGCAGAATGGGCTGACCCCCTTGCACGTGGCCGTCCATCACAACAACCTGGACCTGGTCAAGCTGCTGGTCAGCAAGGGAGGCTCACCACACAGCACAGCGCGGGTAAGAGCAAAGAGCAGAGACACAGAGTCACAAAAGGGGTAAAAAATCTCCCTTCTTTTACAAGAACGTCGTACTGTAAGTGTAAGTAAGGCCTATCCATCTGTGTCCCCAGAACGGCTACACTCCCCTCCACATCGCGGCCAAGCAGAACCAGCTGGAGGTGGCAGGGAGCCTGCTGCAGTACGGGGCCTCAGCTAATGCAGAATCACTGCAGGGAGTCACCCCCCTGCACCTGGCCGCCCAGGAGGGGCGCCCCGATATGGTCACCCTGCTCCTCTCCAAACAGGCCAACGTCAATCTGGGCAACAAGGTAATTATTCGGGGCAACAGAGCAATAATAGCCAACACATAATCAGCTACTATGTGTTGGAGCGGCCAAACCCTCCTGCCTGAGACCTGCTCTCCCATCCCCAGGTTCCTCCACGGTTGTTCAGAGGGGATATTTCTTAGAGTTGCCGACAGACTCTGGAGGAGAGTATTGAAGGCCCCACGGCCAAAATCAGACGACAATTTAGCAGAAATGTCAAGGGACAGTTTAGCCGAATCAAAAGATTAACTCGGAGAACCTTAGAGGGCTGATGAAAGCATTTGAGGACCAGGTTGTTTATTAAGACTGTTAGCCTTTGTATTGTAAGAGGGCATTAAGTTCAGTCAAGATGGCAAATCTTGGTTTTTGGGGAATGCCCTTCCTGTCATTGGCCAGGTGACAACATAAAAAACCAAGAACTGGTGGCCACTGGATTTTTCTGTTTAGCAGAGCTTCTTACAGTATGTGCTGTACCAGAGGGAAGAGGGCAGCAGCAGACTGGCTTTTTGCATTTAATGGCCAAATCCAGATCTGCTGGACTGAGAGAGGAGCATTGAATGAAGATGTATAGTTAGAGTTTGAAAGAGAGAGGGTTTTTCCCTTAACTGTTAATAAAGAGAGCCATTTTTCCCTCATGGCTGTTCGGGTTTGTGTAAGACCTGCTAATCGTGTTCCCATGCATTTAAGCACTTCTGTAAGAAGGCATGTGCACGGCCACGTTTTTCATTGAAAGATGGCAGCAGCCACAGCTTTCATTCGACATGCCAGTGTGCTTTAAGAAAAATGATTTGGAAATAAAGTATAGCCTGTTAAGTAAATGAGGTAATGCTGAGTTAATCGACCTGTGTAAAATGCATTAATAAAATAATTACAAGCACATTAAAAAAGGGTTTTATAATTATGATCCCGTTGCAACAGTGCTTAGCAGCCTTTTTACATGCATAGAGCATTGTGAAGTACTCCTTGCCCAGTGCCTCTCACTGAGGTGCATTAAGGTAGATGAAATGCAGCAGGAAAATGCTTGGGCAGTGGGTTTGCCCTCCTTGCATATAAACCATGTGACTGACAGATCCCAAGGGATGTTCAGAGCAGC